ATGTATTGATGCATTTCTGTATTGTTTTTCCGGTTGCGATATAACATATGTATTTGCCGGAAAAGGAAAGGAAAGTATCGTTAATTCATTATTAGATGCTAAAAATTTGTCAAATTTGGCCAATGTTTTTTTCTAAGAAAAATGCAAGTGAACAATATATAGAAAATGGATTATATTTAATCAGATCTATTCATAAATATAAAAATGAAAAAATAACACTGAATCAATTAAGATTTACAAAATATCAATTGGCAAAAATTAAATCATCTTTCATTTTGGCAAACCTTCCACCCACAGTAGGAGCAGCAGAACAACATTGTTACAGGGCACATTATCAGCTTCAAAACTTGGTTGGGTAACGAAATGACAGCAACAGATTGCGGCTGGAAGCAACATCAACGTAGCATTATGCCCAAATTTACAGAAAAGAAATTAATTCCGGAAGTATTGCTTAAAACTATCTGCTGCAGCTGTGAAACTGGATGTAACCGTTTAAAATGTGGCTGTCGAAAACATGGTTAAAAAGGCACCAATTTATGCTCGAATTGTCATGGTTCTGGAAATTGCTCCAATATGGGAAAAAACCTACGAAGATAACAGATGAAATTGTGAATGAAGAACCAATGCAGACTGGAAATAATATTGGAGACGAAGAAGGTGATGGTCTTGAAGATCTCGAAGATCAGCTAGAATTGGAAAGATTCGTCGAATGTAACAATGAAGAAATGCCATCAAAGAGACGAAAATTAATAGATAAGTTAATGAATCGAAGAGGTTTTGTATTAAAGTGTATAATATTTTAAAATTCTTGCAAAGCGCTTTTGTCATCATCAATGCTCACCTGAAAGCAAGTGATCTAGTTGAAAAGGGAATTTAGTGATAATTGCTTGGTTTTCATAGATGGCAACTCAAATGTAGCACATGATATCCTTGACTCCTTAAAAAACTTACATCCAAAAATCAAATTTACACTTGAAATAGAACAAGACAATGAATTAAACTTTTTAGATCTTACTATAACAAAAACTAACAACAAACTAGATTTTTCCATTTACAGAAAGCCAACCCAGACTGATCATGTCATTCCTTTCAATTCATTTCATCCCATGCAACATAAAATGGCTTCCTTCAATTGTTATGTTAACAGATTGTTGAACATTCCCTTATC